AAATTAAATTTTTCCATCTCGAGCAGCAGCGCGTTTGCAGCGCATCACGCGCGTCAGATGCTTAGTCATTCGTTGCGTTCGCCTGTCTGCTAAGCTCAAAACAACCACGCCTGGATGGACGGAGAAACCAGGAGAACAGCTGAGCATATTTACGACAGTGCACTTTTACTTTCGCCCTCTGGGGGGAGGCCTCGCTGGAAAATCAACACCGGTTGCATAGTTTACCTTTAAAGGGGAAAATTCTGTAACCTGTTCAAGTAGTGGCCTTAAATTTGGGGTTTCCGGAATGCTTGTGCAGACAGAATGTCAACATAAAATCCATCTTGTATTTTGTCTGTTTGTCTTATAGTTTGTCTGTATGTTACTGGAGAAGCTGGTACTGTCATTTAATAATGAATGTTTAAAGTTACAAATACCATTTCTGATCTGATGTATGTTATTGTTTTGATCATTTTCCTAGATACTGTACATTATTTAACCCCTTGGATTAATGGTTAAAACCTGCTTTATACCACAGCACTTGAGTTTAGCTGCTCTTGAATTTGGCCTCCTGTGCTTTGATTTTTTGATGCCTCCATGTTTCATCACAGTGAAATGGCTGTCCAACCTGGTGCTGATTGACTGACCAATTTATTATTGATTTAACACTGCCAGACGGCACATGAAGGAACTTGTTGGACAATGATTAAATGAGTTTGAACTATCTGTGCAGTTATACATATGTAGCTTTAATTGTATACATATTTGAAATGTAGGATGTATTCGATGTGCCATAAAATGTTGCAATTTTACTAGATGTAATTGATTACTAAATATTAATTTTATATCTAGATGGTCATCAAAAAAAAAAAGGAAAGGCTCGTTGTAGAGTTAATACTGGTTTGTCAGTTCTTTTTATACTGTAGCTAAAAATATATAGTAATAACAAGGATAACAAAGATGATCATTATCCTCAGGGAAAACTCTTAACAGGCCCAACTTTATATGGTCTTAATTGAGTGTAGCAGTGCTTGTAAATGCATCTTAGTTATTTATTTAGACATATTCTGCATCTAAAGTACCTCAATCAAATGGGTGATTTAACTCTTCAGCAAATGAATGGCTCATTACTAAGCCTATCCAAGTTCTGAATAGGTCTAGTAATGAGCCATTCATTTGATACAGATGTTTGGGATCTGGGTTGCATCTAAAAGTTGCAGGAGAGTAGGGGACTGGAGTAGGAGAACCCTGAGATCTTTTAATTGAGCCATAAATCTATCCAAGCTAAAACATTTTCTATAGAAGACATTGTTTCTGAAATCACATGGTAAATGTCCTCTTAAATTTCCAAACACAAGTACACTAAGAATTTCAACTATTAAAAAAAATCTGTTTCCTATAATATAAAAATTTACAAAAATATATATATTTTTTTTTTTTTTTTTTGAGTAGGGCATTATTCTTTGGGTTTGCTTACTAGTCAGCTGTTGCTGTTAAAATCCTGATAGAGGAGGAGGACAGTTTTTTCCAATGCCATTTTATAAGAAATTGTCATCTTACAATACACAGTATAAGCTGTTCAGTTTTCTTCAGCAAGATGAGTTTTGAGTTGTCAGTATTTCATCTATAGTTTAGAATGACCAATCTAATTTGGGAGATTTAGATGTGAGCAAAGGCAGAAGGGTTGGAACCAGAAATAACACATAGGAAAGTAGCATTTAGGTGTATGGAAAAGTCTTAAAAGTTGGTTTTATGTTTCAGTGCTCTAGCAGTTCCACTCCCCTAATAATTTGACTTTAAGACACATTAGTTAAACTTTACTGAAAAGGCCAACAAATATGTGCAGTAAAAGAAAACTGGCACTTTTTGGGTAATAATAACAATACATTTTATCTAAAGCGCCTTTCAGGACACCTAAAGACACTGTACAACATATAACAACATATTTGAAGGTATACATTCCTGAAGAGATTGATTTTAAACAGAGGTAAAGTTTTCTATATTATGAATATCAGGTGGGAGGGAATTTCAGAGTTTGGGAGCAGAGCGGGAGAAAGCTCAACAAGGTGGATGAAGGATTGTGGAGGGGTAGCAAGCTGAAGGAGATCTGAGAGGTATGTTGAAGCAAGATTATGGGTGACGTTGAAAGCAAACAGGAGAATTTTGAATAGAATTATGAAGGTGTCAGAAAGTCAGTGAAGCTCCAGTAAGACTGGGGTGATGTGATGAAATGAGGGGGTTTAGGTAATTAAACAAGCTGAGGACCAACTGAAGCTTATGAAGAGATTTCTGAGGGAGACCAAAAAGAAGAGAGCTGCAGTATCAATGTGGGAGGCTATAGACGAGAATAGAAGCAGCATGCTGGGGAAAAGACAGATAAGGACAATGAATATTTCGTCTGTGAAAATAGGCAGAACTGGTAATGTTACTGATGTGGGAGGTGAGTGAGAGAGTCCTATCAACGATGACACCCAGATTCTTGACCTGAGGAGAGGTAGAGATGGTAGAACTGTCAATCGGAAGAGAGAAACTGTCAGTCTTGGTTAAAACTGACTAACAGGAGGATCTCTGTTTTGTTGCAATTTGGTTTAAGGAAGTCAGAGGTAAACCATGCTTTAAGTTCCGGCAAGGCAAGTGAGAGATGAGGAAGGGAGTTTGGAGATTGGCTTAGAGCTGGGTGTCATCTGCATAATAATGAAAATTCTGAAAAATGTTACCAAGTGGCAGAAGGTAGACCATAAAAAGTAGGGGCCCAAGACAGAGCCCAGAGAAACACGGGTTGTGACAGGGCATGGATCTGAGTATAAGGACTTAATTCATATGAAACAACGGAAGAGAGGCAGGAACGGAACCAGTGGAGGGGGATGTGAGTAATGCCAATTGAGGAGACACTTTTTAAGTAGATCTAAATTTTTCAAACATATAGATTTAAAAATAGGAATGAATCTTTTCATAAAGATCTATTAGGCACAGAATAACATATTTTTTTTAATAACATGAGACTTATGGCATGGAGCTATTTACCTTTTGACTTCTGTTCAGCAGTGACACAGGCTATGCCGCAGTGCTGTAGTGAGTCATACACAAGGAATCTTGACATGCTATTAAATTCATATGCTAAAAATTTAATGGAAATATTCTTTTGGTCGATTGATATAAATATTAAAAATATTTTAATTATTTTTTTATGAAAGTCTAATTTTCTGAGAATTTGGGGTTCTTATTAGATACAAGCCCTAATGGT